TGTTTTCAACAGTGTTGCAGCCATAAACAGCACCAAAAAAATGGGCATAGTTGCTCTCTCTGCATAGACTGTTGATGGTTTATCCCTTGGGTCCATGTGGCAAGGGTGAGGAGAGAGCACCACCTCACCCCTGCCACGTGGACCTCAAGGGATAAACCATCAATCCTGCTCAATGGTCAACTTTCCTTGCGGGGTCACCCATAAAGACAGTAGGAGGGTTAAAATGTGAACTTTTATCTTTTATGCTTTACATCATCAGAAAACATACAGCCATGCTATTAGCCATCAAACTAGATTCCTTTTTCATTAAAAATACACGAATATGATAGAAACTTGCAAAATGAACACAGATCATAATATGAAGTCTAGTGCGCTCTGTAGAGTAACTCTCTCTCTCTCTCTCTCTCTCTCTCTCTCTCTGTGTGTGTGTGTTTGTGTTTCTGCTTTATTTGCTAAACCTTTACTTAATGCATTTCTATTAAGTCTTTACTAGGTGTGTTATGAGAGGGCAGCCATGACAGCTATGTAGTAAATGTTCTACCTGACATCTGTTCATCTGGAATAGGAACCTGTTCTCACCTGTTCTCTCACCATAATTGGCCACATTTGACATAAAGTCAGTCTGTCTCGGCTGTTAAGCTCTCAGCAATAACTGCCTCTGTTTCAAGAAAATAACTGGAATTTGCTCAAAACAAACCAGGTTATTTACTCAGTGTGACATGCTCCTACTTCAAAAAATACCATCTTGACTTTGTCAGCTGCTATTTGGGAATAGAAAAGAATTGGAGCATGTTAAATTGCTTTAGTTTCAGTCAAAACCACTTCCTATGTTAGTAAAAGTTGATGCATAAATAACTGGATCCAAGTGGACACTGGGTCAAACACCACACTTAAGCTGCTACTAATCCTTTTCAAGTGAATTCATGTTGATAAGAAATTATACATTTAGCTTTAAAAGTGTGTAGTAGCCTTGAAATGGCTTACGTTATCACTCTGTAAGCTCTTCCTCTTTCAGTAGGAGAGGATTCGTGAATATTCTAGTCCCTCCTCGCAGACATATCTGCTATTCAGCACTTCTGCTACGTTTCAACATCTGCAGGACTGACTACTACACTAATAATCCAATGGCAAGAATGGATCATGGCAGCTAAATTTCTCTCACTTGGCTCAAGACCCAGGATGTGACACAAGGGATTCTGGGTATTGTGCAATCAGAGGAAGCAGGATGAAGAGGAGGCAGATGTGTTCAGACTGGTGTTTCTTGGTGTTTTAATTAAATGTGTGTGAAAAACAAATGACTACAGCAACATGGTTACTGAAACTTTAAAACGCTGGTGGTAGGAAAAGGTTTATTTAAAAATAAAACCTGTAGTAAACTTCACGTGATCTGGTTTTTGCAGGTTTCATTTTGTATCCAAACCAAAAATATCAACTCAGACTGTGATGAACAACACAAACAAGACAAAGGAGGCAGCAGTAGCTAATGAGGTAGAGCGGGTTGTCCAGTAATTGGAATGTTGCAGATTCGATCCCGGCTCCGGCCAGAGAAAGCTCCTATTGTGTCCTTGGAAAGGACACTTAACTGTGCCTGCTTGTGGTGGTCGGAGGGACCAGCAGTGCCAACGCCCGGCTCGACTCTGCCAGCGCCCTCCAGGGCAGCCATGGCCACACCGTAGCTCATCCCCACCAGCGTGTGGATGTGTGTGTGAATGGGTGACTGACTGTGTTGTGAAGCGCCTTGTGGGGTTGTAGAACCCTTTAAGGACAGGCCGCCAGCATATTTTATAAAATTTGTCTTTGAAGAGATAAAGATGAAGCCCGCAGAAGCTGGTTAGAGTTAGTGTTGTTGCCTCACATTAAGGAGGTTGCTGGTTCAACACCCCTTCTGCCCCCCCTTTTTCCTGGTTCACAAAAGGGTAACTGGTGACAGAAGTGTGTGTGTGTGTGAGAGAGAGAGAGTGATAGACTTAAAAATCAGGCCCATTTTTACCTTATCGCTATCAACCAGTGTACCTCTTTAGTGGATTTAAAGTTGGGCACATCGGAGGACAGCCCAGTGCTGCTGTCAATTTTTAAATGTATATTTATATTTTTTTAAAAACACCTGCTTAATAAATACTTGAAAACATTTTTCATATTTAATAACACTCAGTTTATTGATTAACTTAGCCATATATCGGGCCATATTTACAGTTTTTTATTTATCAGCATCAGCCGATGTCGGTACAGGATCGGCTCGGAGTCCTTCGACTGCCGATGACGTCACATTACTGCAACTCTACTCGGCTTTCACGCATACGTTTTGGAAAGACATCAGCAGTTTTGTTAATAAATTCTTATTTGTTAACACCTAAATGTTTTCTTTATAATTGTAATTAGTTAATAAAACACCATATTATCTTTGTTTTGTAAAGAATGTGAAACTGCATAAAACCAACATCGGACTGACAAAAATAGAACAGTTCTTATTTGTGAAGCCATATCTGTTTGTATTAATGTGGAGTTCGTCTGTATATTTCTTTAGTTGTTATCTAAATACATTTTTTGACTCAAAATATTGTTTGGTGTCTTTCAATAAAGTTCTTATATTTTATTTTGCTCCATTTCATCAACATCAAGAGCTTTTGAGGGTCACCGTTTATCATTTGCTTATATTTTACATTTCTTTAGAAATTTAAACATATTTTCTCCAAAAACTGTTGATTTTTGGACTACAGGACTACAACCGCTAAGACTACCACCGCAAATGTGTTCTGACCAATCAAAATCATAACGTGATAACGTCACTTCCGTAAGCTTCATGTTCAGCCAATCAACTACTTTGACGTCATCGGCAGTCGAAGGACCCTGAGCCGATCCTGCACCCGAGCAGATCCTGTACCGACACCGATATACCTCCTAAAGCTCATTTAAAGTCAGGCACATCCTCAGGCAGCCTGGTGCTGATGCAGAATTTAAATGTGTATTTATGTTCCTGAATAACATCTGCATAATAAATATACAAAAAATTATGTTCAACTTAAGTATCTTTTTAATTGACCAATTTTTAATTCTTGGTCAGTTTATTAATTTGTTGGAATAACTTTATTTAGATGTCTGATTGGGACACAGAGCAGAGCACAGAATTAAGAATTTAACTTTTGGGTAAATACAGTGTTAAAAAATGATTCAGCTTCAGAAATGTGCATCAACTGATGTTATTCGACAAGACAGCTAGATTTAAATAGCACATTTCCTACACAAAGACAACTCAATGTGCTTTACAGCAATATTAGTGGATTTTAACATGCAAATATGATGGAAAACATACAGACATCAGCCATGAACATTGGCCTAAAAATAAGCAGCACATACCAGCCATTGGATGACCACGACCTCTAGATATCGGCATCAGCAATAAAAAAAAAACATGTTGGAACTATTTCTGTAATGATGTCCCCATTCCCACTTCTCTCACTTCACCTTGATAATGTGCCCCCCCCCCCCCCCCCCCCCCACACACACACACACTCCTCTCTCAACGTTCCCTTCACCTAACACAAAAAATGAAGAATGCTAAAGTCCTCCCTGCAAAGTCTACCTCCCGTTCTGTGGAGTTGCAGAGCAGAGCTGACATAATTTAGTCCCTCCTCTGCTGGTTTGATGTGGTACCTTTGAGCATGGTCGAAAGAGTCTGATTTAAAATGCAGCTACATGAAAACAATCACAAAATGTCACATATACTGTAAAATGTGATGATTCACAAGAGTCTGATCCCACAGTCCACAGCAAAGAAATGGTATTCAGCAGCAAAGCAGCTGCCTACAGCCTCACATGGTACCAGCCAGGTGGTTTTATTGTTCTGGCTCATTGGTGAATACAGACTGGAGTATTACCCTGAGCTGTACATGCTCTCATAATGCAGATGTTCCTGCCTCCTCTGCATTAAGGTTTCACAAGACTGACGTCATGTGTAGATTTGTCATCTAAAACTACATTAATGGTGTGATTAGCAAACTTTTTAATGATCTAATTCATAGTGTGGCTAAGCACGCATTAATCGTCTTTTGGCTCATTTTAGGAACCTGCAGCCCTGGGGTTGGGGTGAAAACACTCAAACTGTGCAAAAATCATTTAGCCTTCGAACAAATGGTTTACATTTTTTGAGAACACCAGATTGTGCAGAAGTGGAAAATCAGAGGCGGATGTTTGTGTGTGCTCTCTGATACATGCGATGAAGAACAGTAGCGCCTCTGTGAGGGGCTTCTTAAGGCTGAAGCTGTTATGTTATTCTGTCGTTTTCACCAGTTCTTCTTTTTCTCTACTTTCTTTATCACCCTGTATAGATACAGTAAATATAGTGTTGATAATTGTTCTCATGTACATATTATTTGGCAAATCAAACCAAAATATGAGGACCAAGGGAAGCAACCCTTGAAGGGATGCATTTATTTCTTACAGATTTCAAACAAGCTACAAATGATGGACATTAAGTTTAGGTTGAGTCCTTTTCTGAGGAGGGATTGTAATGTAGAGTCCTTTTAACATTTATTTATTTTTTTTGTAGGCATTTTAAAGGTCCATGAAGGAATGAGACATTATTGCCTCCCATTAAAATCTAGTTTTTGGGATGACTTAAAACGTCAATGCTCTTATCACTGAAACAGTTTTAAAATACTCGTTTTTTATTCTTGCTGCTCAATAACTGACCTAAAAATAGTTTTTTAAATTTCAGATTGTAAAGATTTAAACGCCTTAACACTTGTGCACAGTGCTGAGTGTTTCTGCCTGGACGTTGAGTGTATCCTGTTGTTTGTGCTGCAGTCCACAGATACATAGCCGTGTCAGTTGTCTCATGATTTATTCATACTGTGAGTTTGTGTAGTTGTGTGTACTGCTGTTTGTGTATCTTGTTGAGACTTTATACGTTAAGAACATCAATACACAAGCTCAGTTTGGATGTTTTGTGTGAAATGGAGAAAGGTTTGTGAGAATGAACAGCTTTTTTTGTTTTGTTTCAGGCAACCGGACAAACTGGTGGTGGTTTGGACACGTAGGAGCCGGAGGAAATCATCTAAAGTTTGTATTTTGTTGGTGGCCTTTTGTATGAAAGTACATAAACAATTCTGATTTCCACATAATTTGTGTTTTTGTATTGCGTTGCTGTCCTGTAGTCCCACAGCTGGCAGCCTGGCATCAAAAATCCATACAGAGGAGTCGTCGTGTGGCCGGTACCAGAGAACATTGAGATTACTGTCACACTCTTTAAGGTTTGGTTTCCATACCTTTATTAGTACGCATCTAATTAAACTTCCTGGTCTACTTAAATGTGCTGACTAATGAAAGCTGACTAATGAAAAGGTAGCTCGATACAGTGAGTAGTTACCTTTTTTGTCTTTGTTGGATCTCCCTTCATTACATATCTCTGTTTAGTGGCACACGAGAGTATCTCACTGGCCATCTTTAAATGTTCACCAGGGTTCAGTGTTTCCCTGCAGGACATTTAACCTCGTATTACTGAAATTTTAAATAAATTAGAAAAATGTGCATGGCAAAATCTTCTCTCAAAATAGTAATGTAGACCGTGCTGGCACGAGGAACTTGTGTTGAGTGCTTCTCGATAAAGTTCTCAGAAGTGATGAATCTGAGACAATTTGGTGAGGGGTTGGCAACTAAATTTCAGGTCAAATGAGGGTGAATTGTAAAGAAATTGAGACATAATGAGGACACTTAAGGCCTGCTTCCACTATTGGAACTTTTACCGGACCTTCGTAGTACGTGTTTCCATTACACCTGGCCGGTCTGAAAGGACTTCTATTTGGGCTATTTCAGGCTATTTCAGGAAGAAAACGAGTACCTGAACTGGGTTATATGCTCGAAGTCACTGCGTGGGACTTCTGTTTGTTTGATGCTGATTGGTTGTCACCAAACAACCACAACCAGCATTTGTAAAGAGTTGCTGATGAAGCAGTCGAAGAAAAATAAATTAGGGCGTGTTGAAACTGCTTTCAAATTGCCATTTCTAAACTCCCAAGGGCGAAAAATTCAGTGGAAATCCCCCCAAAAACCATAATTTACGGTACTTTGTAGTGTCATTAAAACAGTTTTTCAGGTCATTGAATGCCTCTTTTTACATCGAAGAGCCAATCTCAAATCATCCTCTGAGCAGTGTTAAACACAACGTACTTTGGCAGTAAAAAGGTCTTTAATGATAATAATGTCAATGGCTTTAGGCACTGATCGGTGACATCACTCACTGTCAAAACGGTCGCTATAAACTGAAGTCTTAGCAAAGTCCTTAAAGGGCCGATTTTGTATGGTGTCCACAAAGGCTGGGTGAACCAACCCAAAGTATTTTCCTTGTCACTTTCCCCACTCCCAGGAATTTTCCAGAACATGTCTGTAGAAAGGCAGCTATGGTGATGAAATCACAACAAGAACATTTGCAGAGCTGTTGCAATGTGTTTGCAACTACTCACATGCCCCAGATGACTTGATCATATTTAAGAATTGTCCCAAAAGTCTAATTAGTCAGTGTGATTCCAGGTGTCGGTGCGCTTATTTCTTGCACTTGTCGACTGTCACAGATGTTTGAGATACTCGCCTACATCTTGTCACTTAAAGATCTGCTCAGTTTTCTCAGCCTTGCATGCTGTGGCCTCTTTTCTTCCACTTCCTTTCCATTAAAACATAGCTTAAAAGGGCTGTCTTGGTAACAAGACACAAAGTCAATCCACCGAAGGCCAAGTTTGCCCCGTACCGTTGGATATGATCCAAGTCAGATAGCACTGGCCAGATCTGTAATTTATTACCTCCGTGTCTTTGTGGAGCAACTTCCATTGATTTTTATAGCTGGAATTAAAGTTAGGCAAACACGAAACAAGGCTCTGATTAGCCATAAGTTCATTAAAGTCATTATAAAATCCTGTTGGATGTTGAAAGGCTTTTATTTACATCTGGAAACAAGGAAACAATGACCGGTGGTGCGGCTAATAATGTTTTTAAAGGCAAGGCAGCTTTATTTATAGAGCACATTTCAAACACAGAGGCAGTTCAATGTGCTTTACAATTATCAGGACATGATATGAAAACAGCTGGTGGTTCTGTTTGTCATCGGGTAAAGTTAAAAATGCAGCTCCTGCTGCATGGTGGGAAATTGTATGGCTTCTGTGTTTACATCCAAGTCATTAAGTGTGTTTACTCAGAATAATTTGTGCAGTTTATTAAGCAGAGAGAATCAAACTTAAACAGTCAGTGGGGTTCCAGTAGTACCTGCTAGGGCTGCAACAAACGATTATTTGGATAATCGATTAATCGGATGGGGTCTCGACACGATTAATCGATTAATCGGATTACATGGGGAAATTTTTAAAAACTGCTAGGGAAATGTTATTTCTCTCCTTCCTTCACTTTATTTAACACAACATTATTAGAAAACAGTTCAATAGCAGAAAAACAACATGCCATCACCTAAATTGTCTTATAAGGTGTATAGACAGAGACCCTAAGCTACATCTATCTGTGACCTAAAATGCTTGGTCCAAGTTAAACAGCTTAAGGGCAATTCTCATCTGTTTTGTTTGATCTCATCTGTTGACATTTATTTTAAATGTAATTAAACATAGGCTGTGAATTAATCAAAATTGATCACCATTTCCAAAAATGACTGAAAAAATACCAAATAAAACAAAAGTAAATGAATGCCATCCTCCTTGCGATGATGCCCTGGGCAACTGCCATAAAGTCACATCAAGAAATGCTGCTGATCATTCCAATGATCCCAAATAGACTCACATTAGGCCACATGAAAGCAACTGAACCCAAAAATATATTAACCAGTATATAACTGCACTCTCACACAACACGCCTGCAGCAACAGTTAGGACTCCTCCCTCCCTTTTAAAAGTGTTTTTGCTTCTGAGGACATTGTGGTTGTAAAACCACATGCTAGTAGTCTGGCCCCGGTGTGATCAACCAGTTTCTGTGGGAATGTGACGGCGGAACCAGGGCCAGATTAACACTTTGTTGTACCCTGGGCAACAATATTCAAGGGCTCCATAATCACGACCCAAGGATCACCATAATGTGGTCACATACAGAATATTTTACTGTAATATGCAGTAAATATACTCAATACTTGAATGCCTGACAACACGTAACCCGCCCAGAGTAACCTTTGACCCACCTCGTGTGGACTGACCAATGAGGAGAGGGTCTTAACTTGAGGCCCTCTCTTCATTGGTCAGTCTGCATGAGACTGACTCTCAACTGACATTCAGTCGTAGGCAGCGAAGCGTCTCTGTGCAGTGCAAAAGCCCGGGTGGACAGTTTGTTTAATGTAGGGTGACCATATTTCCATTTCCAAACAAGAGGACAGGGGATCTGTGCCTATGACGTCACACTATGGCAACGCCACACAAACCATGTTGGGACCATTTTTTGTAAGAACTAAATTAATATCAGATTCTGCCAATAAAAGGGCTCTAAAACAATTCATATGTAAATATTTAGCATATTTACTGCAAAATCTCATTTTTCTGCTTTAGTGCTGCAACAAGGTTTTATTAATAATAAATTATTATACCTTTTGTTTTACTACAGCATCGGTAAGCTTCCTGTGCACAGATGATTAAGGATGCTTGTTTCAGCTGTGAGATTAGACGATAGGATCAATGAAAACATAAGTTGTCACACACTCCATGGAAACTTTCAGAGAATCCACAAATAGTGGCTTTCAAATGGTTTTGTTACTTTTTGCAAGTTTATAAAAGAAGCAGATGAGACAGCATGTCTGATAATTTAGTTTTTCATCTGATAATATTAGAACATGTCAGTAATGTCTGAGGGGCTTTTATAAACACCATATAACTAACACTACTGGAGAGGGCATGAATTACACAGAGGCTTCTGGGGAGCCCAGTTATGGGGGGGGGGGGGGGGGGGCATTTTGCCTTGGCCCCCAAAATGTCTTGAAACGGCCCTGGGTGTGACTGAGTTTTGAAGGTGATCTGAATTGTATCAGATGTATAATTATGACATGTGTATAACTTATTGTTTTTTACTGGTAAAAACGTGTAGTGGAGATAACTCTACCTACATTTGACTTTTCAACACTTTGTTTTGTTTTCTTGTTTTTATTGAACTATTTTCCTGTCCTGTCTGTCTCTCATCTTCCTGCATCTCCTCATAATTCTCCAGAAAATCTGTTGCCTGGATTCTTACCTTTTCACCTCATCAGTTACTTTTGAGCAGATCAAAGGGATCTCCTGACCGAAAAGCGCAGAGCGCGTTTTCGATGCTGCGTGAGGTGACATCACCGCAGCACAGGTGATGAGCTCCGCAGTAGCGAGCTTCAGGCACAAATAAGACAGAAAATAGAGAACATGTGCGGACATGAACGATCGTGTGCTAATTATAGTTTTTTGGTTGCGCCACTTTGAGAATGGACCGTGCGCTGGAAGCAGCTGCCTGGATCGCTGCGCGACAATGCGGAACCGGTTCGCAGCAGCGCAAGTCTACCGGCTCTCCCTAGCGCTGATCTGCCGGCTCTCCCTCGCGCTGATCTGCGGCTCTCCCTCGCTCTGATCTGCCGGCTCTCCCTCGCGCTGATCTGCTGGCTCTCCCTCGCGCTGATCTGACTTGCTCTGGTCTGCGAGCAACGGCGGGCGGGAAGGGGGGGGGGGGCGCTTTTGGAAGAGTTGTGCGACACAACGAATCGATGACGCAATTCGTTGCCAACGCTTTTAGTAATCGATTTTCATCGAATTCATCGATTCGTTGTTGCAGCCCTAGTACCTGCCTATACCTAAAGGTCTAAAACATCCTTCCTTTTTGTATTAAAGCTGCATCAATGCTGGAATACATCTGCAGCGATAAATCTAACACTCTAGATATTACTGCAGCGTGTTAAGTGAAGGTGAAGTCAACCCCCAATAGATCTCCTCCTGTTTGTCCTGAAGCTCTGCAGCAAAAACAGCTGAGCTCAGCAGTGTTGAATCATGTACAGTAAGATGTGCACCAGCAGGCAGCCTCGCCTCAACTTTCTAAACATAAACACAGAAATTTTAAACAAACCCAGTGCAGAATCAGTGCTGGTATGAAGTGCAGAGTCCTGTATGTAAAAGCCCAGAGACCACAGGTTAGAGGTCACCCTAGACAGGAGAATTATTTCATGCTAGTTTCAGATTAAGGGTGAAAAGAACATAACAGATTCAAGTTGTTTAACAAAGTGAAACTGACAAAAAGCACACATACACACAGTCATGATTTCTACTTTTACTTTTGCAGGATCCTCATGCAGAAGAGTTTGAGGATAAAGAGTGGACATTCGTGATAGAAAATGTGAGTACAGTTGCTTCTCTTTTTCCTACAGTTGGGTCAAATGAGTCATATTTAATGACCATCAACATTGTTGGTTCAGTCAGTACATATTTTGTATTTTGTAAGATCTGTCTGCCACCTTGTGGTCAATTTATGTCATTACAGCTTGATTTGTCAAGTTAAGGGCTAGATCCTCCTTCAGGAGACTGAAACAATCCTTGTTGATGAAGTTTTACTGATGTTCTTGTGAAACACGTGGAAAACTACTGATGTTCTTGTGAAACACGTGGAAAACTTGTGCTGATGGTGCTGTGGTGTTTCCTTTATTTTCTGGCAGTTGGAACAGCAGACATGATGTCATAGTTTTGTTTTGTGCCGCTGTGAGTCACAAATGTCCACCTAATATTCCAGAAAAGAAGTGTGGACACTTTGCTCGTTTTACAGTAAGCACAGATATTAGAAAAGCTAGAATTCCTGGTAAAGTCTTGAAGACAGGGTGGATGGACTTTTCTACTGCAGTAGGGACTGACCTGAACCAGAGGGTAGGGGACTGAGGCAAAGACTGAAAGACGACTGTTTAAACTTTACAAAGTGGAAAGTTTCTGTTCATACGGCTTTTTTCATCCCTCAGCTGAAGCTGTTTATGTTACAGGGTGTACCCGAGGGACATTTTTAACTAATAATGCTGTTGTGGAGATTTTTTTATGGAACTTGTGGGAAATAAATGTTGGTTTACATAATTCTTAGCACATAAAATTAAGGTATTTTATGAGGCTGTGCTGTCAACAGTCCTAAAAGGTCCAACATGTGATGTTGCTTTAAATAAAACACAAAGAGCAGTTAACTGGTTTGATGTCATTTGCTGGGTTCCTTATATAGGAAACATTATTTCTGATTGGCTTAATCAACTGACCTGAATTGGAATGTTTATTATGTGAAATGCCTTGAGACGACTCTTGTCGTGATTTGGCGCTATATAAATAAACTTAAATTGAATTGAATTGAAAAAGTCCTTTAACCATTAGGAATCATGGCAGAGCTTTTGAACACAAAACAGGAGGCTGAACATATTTCAATAAGAAAACTCCAATTTATTTAGATAATTAAATATTTTTATTTATAATCTATTATTCAGGACCAGCCCTGACCATATAGGATTCATGGCACTAGCCTCCATATTTTTCTGTGTGATTTAAGGAATGCACAATACCAGATTTGTTTAGAGTACCAGTACTTAAATTTGAGTACTTGCTGATACAAGTACCGATGAATTCCATTACACTACTTAACAAAATGTGTTGCATTTTAACTAGGGATGCACCGACATTAAAATTCTTGGCTGAAACCGAAAATGGGGAAACCAAGGCTGAAAACCTGAACACCGAAAGGAATGATCATGTTAATAATTAGAACATTAGCATTAGAAGGACTTAAAATTAACCTTTTGAGCGCCAAAGTTGCAATGTTGCGTTTAACAAGTCACAGCTGCAATTGTAATTCCTCATGAAGTTATTGTTTTTCACCAGAAGATAGCGGAGATGTGTAACTTCAAACTGAGCAACACTTGTGGGTATTTCTTTAGAACATTTTGTAGTTTTTTTGAGTTTGAAAACTGCCCCTCCCCCCCCCCCCCTGTTGGGAGGCTCCTGACTGAGGAGAGGAGACAAGCGGAGCACACAGAGGGTTAATATTATTATATTTTAGAGAGGAGAAACTTACAATGCTGACAAAACTCTTTGTCTACTAACGGCTGACTCTGATTCTGAAGGGTAATATTCACCCCTGATGATGGAAGATATTCACTCTTCCAGTCAATTTTTGTTTCATCCCTACTTTTAACACTGAATGTTTTTAACTAACAGCCACATCTTTTATTGGTTTTGCTAAAACTCACTTTATCAGAAGTTCATTTTCCAGTAAATCCAATTCCGGGTCGGGGGAGAGGTCCTGCCTCAGGTGGAGGAGTTAAAGTATCTCTGGGTCTTGTTCACGAGTGAGAGAAGGAGGGATCAGGAGATCGACAGGCGGATTGGGGCAGCGTCTGCAGTGATGCGGATGCTGAACCGGTCTGTTGTGGTGAAGAAGGAGCTGAGCCGGAAAGCAAGGCTCTCGATTTACCAGTCGATACACCGCCCAGTCCTCACCTATGGTCATGAGCTTTGGGTAATGACCGAAAGAACAAGATCGCGGATACAAGCGGCCAAAATGAGTTTTCTCCACGGGGTGGCTGGGCTCAGCCTTAGGGATAGGGCGAGGAGCTCGGACATTCGGGAGAGACTCGGAGTAGAGCCGCTGCTCCTCCATATCGAGAGGAGTCAGTTGAGGTGGTTTGGGCATCATGTTAGGAAGCCTCCTGGACGCCTCCCCATGGAGGTGTTTTAGGCATGTTCCACCAGCAGGAGGCCCCCTGGTCGACCCAGTAGATGTTGGAGAAAGTACATCTCCAATCTGGCCCAGGAACACCTTGGGGCCCTGCCAGAGGAGCTGGTGGAGGTGGCCGGGGAGAGGACGGTCTGAAACTCCCTAGCTGGGATGCTGCCCCCGTGACCCGTACCGGGATAGGTGGATGAAGATGAGACCAGACGATGCGAGACGGGATAAAATAATGGCTGTGCTTTGTTGTGTCTGCAAATGTTTCTTCAAATTAGACGTAAGGTACAATAATATGTATAGAATTCTACTGTGAAATAATCAGAAAGCAGTCTAATGTCTCAATCATGTTGGAAGGAAGGTTAACATTGAAACAGATTTGCTGCTCTACCAGCTCCGGGGTTGTCAGTTTTTCTCCTTTTTAAAAGGCAGAAGAGGGACAAAGTTTTTGTTTACAGTCTGTCCCGCCTCTATACTTCCTGGTTCAGGAGACAATCACACGTGAGCCCGCAGGGTTGCCAAGTGTGTACCGGTGTCGGTACAAGATCTGCTCGGGTGCAAGATCGGCTCGGGGTCCGTCGACTGCCGATGACGTTAAAATAGTTGATTGGCTGAACATGAACCTTACGGAATTACGTAATCAAGTTACGTTGTTATCGCGTTACGTTGTTATCACGTTACGTTGGTCCAGGCAAATCTTTCTGTTGGAAAGATGGACAACTTTTACAAAGAAATCCATCATTACCTCTTTGAAAATACACTTTTAGCATAGAGCTGCATGTATATTAGGGCTGAACGATTAACTGCATGTGCAATTAAATTGTGATGTGACAAAAGGAGATTTTCTAATTGCAAAGGCTGCAATTTGGCAGCGAGTGGTTAGCGCAATGCTAATATACGTGGAAAAACCCATAGGAATGCTAATGCTAATATCACCGATTACATTCTTACAAATTATGAATTAGAAATGTGCCAAATGATTACATTTGGAGTCTAATAGAAAGTAAAACTACCATCAATCAAATAAGTACAGACAGATATTTTAGTAAATCCAGAAAACTTTTAACTCCAGAGTTTTGGCTAGCAGCTATGAGCGTACCTGAACTACGCATGGACAAGACGTCAAAAACTAAACACAAAATACTCCAATAAACGGGACACACTTCTTTCCTGCAAATACAATTTCACAGGTGTTGCTAATACCTATGATTCTTCAAGTGATGTGCTCAAAGAGGAGTTCAACATTATGAATAAAATACCGTAAATCCTCTAATACAGGCCCGGGCCTGTATTTGACTCAAGCTCATCAAGCTCCAGGCCTTTATTGGAAGGAGGGCCAGTATTAGAGGCAGGCCTCTATTTCTATTTGAGCAAAATGAACTAATGGTTCGCTGGAGTTTTTGACAATTAAAAGTGCGCCCACATTTTCAAAGTTAAACACATTTCTTTTAACAACGGTAGTTTCTGCTTCAGCCCTCTCCCCCCTCCCCCTGCGCAGCGGCCGCAAACTCACTGATGCGCCTGCAGCCTCTCGGAGTTCCTGCTGCTCTAAACATTAAAATAATTATTTCATTTTCTGTTCCTCACTTCTGATGACCTTCAATGGTGTCTGTTTGTTGCAACAGCAGGTACAAAAACTAACTTGTTTTTATTTGACTATTTTTCTGTCCTGTCTGTTTATTATCTTCCTGCATCTCCTCTCAATCCTAAAGAAAAACTGCTACCTGGGTTCATATATGTTCACCTCATGAGTTACCTTTGAACTGCAGTTCTAAAAGATCTACCCACCGCAAAAACAGCGGAGCGCTTGCTGTTTGGCGGCCGTATCAGTGATCAGTGCGTCGGAGGACAAGGTGATGCGCGCAGCGCCCCGCTCCACAGCATGCAGCGAAACACATCAGGCGCAAATAAAAGACAGAAAACATTAAAGGAAATGAACTGACATGAACGATCGCGTGTTAAATTAGTTTTTGAGGTGGCGACACCTGATTGTTACTGTGGCTGTGCTCAGGAGGCAGATCTACCGACCGCGAAAACAGCTGAGCGCTCCCTGCTGTGATCTGTGCGTCGGAGGACAAGTTGATGCGCCCCGCTCCACAGCAGCGATACACATCAGGCGCAAATAAAAGACAGAAAACATTAAAGGAAATGAACCGACATGAACGATCGCGTGTCAGTACCTACGGTCTGGCACTTGAGTTTTACCCCCAAAAAGGAGAATGTGATCATACGATAATTCAATAGGGAGCGTGGTTTCACAGACGCGGAAGTGATAGCGTCGGTGCTCTAGGAAACCCCCGAGCGTTCGAGCGTCAACGAAGTGACACGGAAATGCCGGGCTTTCCAGAAGTAAGTAAGATAACTTACTATGAGCTGATAGTTCGTTGGATTGATCGGTAGGTTGGAAACTCTGATCATGAATCTGAAGAAACGATGACTGAGTGGTGAGCTGGAAAGGCGACTTCCATTTATAGCCGCGGTTTGTGACGTAGGTGCGACGTGAAGGGAATCCCCGCGAGGGGCATGCTGGGAGTCCCTACTTCGCGGATTTTCACCTATCGCGGCCAGGTCTGGAACGCATCTACCGCGATAAACGAGGGATTACTGTAGTTCATACACCCCCTACTGCTGCTCCCCAGAGTGTTCTGCAG